ATTAGATCAGTTTACAGGGACAAAAATTAACTTAACTACATAAGTCCCATCAGCTTACGGGGTCAACTGTATAGATTAGATCAGTTTACAGGGACAAAAATTAACTTAACTACATAGGTCCCATCAGCTTACGGTGAATTCTTTCACTTACCTCAGAGCCACTTGAATAAGACAACTTCATGAAGTAGATAAATCAAGTCTACTTCTACAATTTCTGCTTGGACGATAAGGGTCAAGATTTGGGTTATAAGATTATGTTAGTGAGACCTTGAACTCTTACTGTCTAGAGTTGTTTATTACTACTCTGGATAACTGGTGTAATATGTATAAAAACAATTTGTCAATTTAATTGTGTGTAACGCTCACATTATGAGTCATTTTTAATTAAGTTGCATATTCTTATAGATGTTTTGTAAGTGTACTTGAAAACTGTTTTTATTTTCTCAATGCGGGATTCTTTTTATTTTATTATCAAAGGGGATGTTTGGTGAACAAAGCTCGCTGATGGAACGGGGGGGGGGCTTTTTTTTGTTTTTTACAAAACTAAAACCTGTCATTTTTTAACATGTCGGATAAACCTAGTGTATTAATAAATATCATCTAGAGGGCGCCATTACAGAGTCTTAAGGAATGGTGAGATTTAAATCAAAACAAAATGTTTAAAGACATTGAACTTTTTATCAATTTTCTACCTATAGTGGGCCTTCTGTGTGGCAGAAAACAGCCAAGTCTCTCGGACTGAAAAAGGACCTCCTGATTATCTAATGGTGAGGATACTTTGCATTTCATCATAACACTTAGCTGTTTGGACTTCTAACCTTGGCATAGTACTGATCAAGGTCTTAAGCCTTAGCACATAAAACTACAACATTAACTTGTATAGGTGACACAAGAAACTGGTCATATGAAAGTTATAAATCATCAAACACTATGTTGTTTCGTTGAATGACCCTTTGTTAAATCTAATAACGAATAACAGAAGTAGAAACGAGATATATTTGAACACAACCTTTTCATTAAGTAATTATTTCATTTTTGTAGTGCATGTTGGCGTATAGAAGATGTATTAATACTAAAAATAAACGATCTTATAACACCAAAATCTTGTTTTTATTTAATTAGACACTCAACCTTTCGCTTTACAGCTTCTTCGGGAGCGTTTACTAACACACAAACTGAATCTTTGTCTTTTCATTTATTTAGTTTTTCAAAAACATCCTTGATTAAGTACTACTTCAAGAGAAATTTACAATCAGTTGCTTCTTGCAGCTTCTGGAAATACAATCAGTTGCTTCTTGCAGCTTCTGGAAATACAATCAGTTGCTTCTTGCAGCTTCTGGAAATAAAATCAGTTGCTTCTTGCAGCTTCTGGAAATACAAGCGGTTGCTTCTTGCAGCTTCTGTAAACCAGAGTTCAGTTTCTCTATGATATCAGAAAAACGCGTAAGTTCAATAAGTGTTGATACAAAATTATAAAAACCCTATAACCCAAGCGCTTTCGAAAGGGGTGCCTTTCTTCTTCAAGGGCGTTCTCAACTGGGCTCTGAAGAAGAAAGGTACACCCTTCGAAAACATCCATGGTTACCTCGACTACCATTTTGGATTTGCTCTCTTCTGGTTCATTAAGCGTTTGAAACTTTACACTGGGATTCCCAAAGTAGGTGTTTTTTTTTCGTATTTTTGACTGTTAAACATTCTAAGAATGACTTCTGAATTGACTGTTAAACGTTGTTAGAATCACTTCTTACCTGACTGCTAAACTTTCTAAGAATCACTTCTGACCTGACCGTTAGAAACATTGTTTATGTTTTGGAGCCTAAGCCTATTTTCAAATTACTGTTACCAGTTTTCTTGTATTAAACAATAGGGTTTCATATATTAGAATAATAAGTTGTAGGTAATTGGATGAAGGAATTATTAAAAGAGGTATTCAAACTTTCTTAAATAATTCTGCTTTTGAAGTTACAGTATTACATATTCTTCTGGCTTAGACTTAAGAACAAATGTAAATAATTAACCATGTCATACAATTTATTCTTACAATAAAAATTAGTTCTGACATATTTTTCTTTTTCACTCTTAGGAATGCACAAATCCGGGTCAAAGTGTGGTAAGCAGATTTCATCGTACTGTATAAATTATACATCTTTAATAAAAATACTCAGTTTTTGTCTGTCATGAAAATGCACACGTATTCAACGACGGATGTAAACAAAAGGCGGATGTAAATATATCTTAGTAGACATTTTGTACAACAACATACTAAAAGCTTATCAAAGTTTTTAAAATTCTAACGTTAGGTCGTAGAACAACATTATGTTTATTTATTGATAGTATTCAGTATGGTAATGTTTAGCCCTAACGAAACTAAAGGAAAAAACGTATACAAGTTACAGTGTTAATTTACCTCTTTATCGAATATAAGCCGTACTTAATAAAGGCTTAACTAATGTTAGGCCTAAGAAAAGTGGATTTATAATTTCGGTGTCTGCGATTACAATTCTCTGGTATCATTCAAGAAATCCTGTATTTAAAGAAGTACTGTTGTAATAAATATACTAACCTGACCGCAAATGTTTTGTGGGTCTTTGCTAGTTGAATACTATTATTTTTCAATGCCATTTTATGCTCTCTTATTTCTTGTCAACATTGTACTGTTTAAGCTGGGTTTCCTTCTGGAAAAGACAGTAAAATATTATCACAACGTAACATGGCGAGAAAAGATTCTATAAATCCTCGTTAAAGGAGTATTTAGTTTAGAATCAGACGTAAAGAAAAATTATACGAAATTTTATAAATTTTGCTTTTAATATAGATATTATTTTATAATAGAATGATATACACATTTCTTATCCCTAATATATGTAGGATTTGCATATTTCAGTGTTTATGATAAAAGGTTACATGGTGTTATAATGAATGTTCAAGGTGATACGTATGAATTATACAACAACCAAATATTGTCGTTGTTTTTCTAATAGACACCTCAGGCAGTTAAAGAGTTTTTCTGTGGTAAGTACATTCTCTTTTAGTAATTTTTGTTTCCCTGTAGTGCTATGATTTGTATTAGTTATTTATTAATATTATACGTTTGATGTACAGTAACGTAAAGAGTCGTTTTTGATTGTAATAATGTAATAAAATCGTCTTTACTTGTGTTTACATTTTCAATATTGTTTTATGTCCACAATAATAGTATACAACTTATATAAACCTTAATGATGTGTGCCTGTTTCTTCCCACAGAACAACCAACCAGATATCAGTGTGTACAGAGGGCGGTTTCTGAAGGGGTAATAAAATTGCGTTACGTTTTTTGTTATTTAACTATAAGTAAAATACGTCTTAACCTACATACAGTATAACAGACCACTCGTGACAAGAGTTTTATTACCTGAATAATCTATGGTTTATTTAAAGAAAAAAGGACTAAGGACCAACCAGATATTAATATTGTTACGTCTCTGTTCGTTTGTTAATTTCCGGTACAAATTCTTTCCGAGGAACTTCAGCGATACAAGTCCTTTCATAATTAAAACTAGTTTATTCTTTCTCGATACAACTTTGAAATACACAGAATTTCCACAGTCACTTTAAACTTAATGTTACGTCTCTGTTCGTTTGTTAATTTTCTGTAGAAATTCTTTCCCAGAAACTTCACCGATATAAGTCCTTTCTTAATTAAAACTAGCTTATTCTTTCTCGATACAACTTTGTAATACACAGAATTTCCACAGTCACTTTAAACTTAATGTTACGTCTCTGTTCGTTTGTTAATTTTCCGTAGAAATTCTTTCCCAGAAACTTCAGCGATACAAGTCTTTTCTTAAATAAAACTAGTTTATTCTTTTTCAATACAGCTTTGCAATACACTTAATTTCCACAATCGCTTTAACTTAAACACACGCTATAATTCACAACGAACGATTCACGCACTTTACTTACTACTGCGCTTGACTCAATTGTCCATCTCTGTCTGTCTGCATTTATCTATCTCTATCTATCTATATCGTCACTTCTCGCCGGTCTTATATATATACAAAATAGAGGGCGTATCTAGCAAACGCAAATGTTCGACAGGTTGCTCGATCTTTCTAGAACTCCAGCGCTTGTTCCCAGCGTCGTGCGACTTCCGCTATCATAACACTACCCTTTCCTTAGTATTGTTCGTCCTGAA